CGGTCAGGGGTGGAGTGCGTATGCGGAGGCTCAGCCCTGCCCTCGCTTAAGGCCAAGCTTAAGGACCGAGAAGGGGGCCCTCTCACGTCATGCCACGTAAAAAGAAAACATCAGCAGAATTGGCGGAGCGAGTTCTGGGGATTCTGGGGCCAGGCGCCTGGGTGGTGACCGGGCGATCCAGATGACGGAAGGCGATCATGTCAACCTGCGGGCTTCGTGCTTATAGGACTTATAGGAGGGTTTAGAACTACGCACTGGACCCTCCATGCCAGGGTGAGCATCCTCTACTCTAACCCACATACAACAAAACCTCATCTGCAGAAATCAGCACCTCGTCATGACTGTGCGTTCTGTTCGGGCTTCCTCCTTTCTTCAGGGGCTTCAAACGGTTTCAAGCCTGAGTGTGCTTCGTGGCCCAGCTTGTCGCCCAGCACGGCTATGAATTAACTCACTTTGCTGAAGTAGCATGTCCCCGTGCAGCCCTGGTCAAGAATGACCCCGTCGAACCGACAAGCGAAAATGAAGCTGAAAGACGAAGGAACAGAGTCATTCCCGAGAAGCACCTGCGTTTTGAGCTCACTCGGGTGGCCCAAGGCTGCGACAACCGGCTGTATGCCCTGCGCAAGGCGCAAGTACAGCACCGTCCGCGGAGTTTTGAAGTGCCTTGGCCCGAACTTGAAGCGACATGCCGACTTAAATGCTCAGACCGGCAGTCTCAATGAAGATGCCTGACACTCGCTAACTTTGAGTCAACGAGCCCAGCCATTTCAAGCCCCTCTCCTCTAGCCATCTTCAACACTCTTCAATCAAATTTTGTAAAACCGGCAATGTACTGCCCAAGTTCATGATGCGCACGGAAGTTCGCTACGGCTCATGCAGGAGTAGCCTTGCCAGCAACTCACCTTTCTTAAAGACAGCCCTAGCAGCAACTCGCGAAGCAGGCAGCATGGTACTTTTGCAGCTACAACTGCTGCACGAGCTGGATGGCTTGTATTGCATGACCCATCCCCCAGTTTTCTCTTTGCTGCTTTAGTTCTTTCTTCCTTTCCATTTGTCTTTCAGTCTCTCTCTCTCTGTCTCTCTTGCTTTATAGCACTCCCGAGGTCCTGCGCAGCAGCGTAAAAGTCGCCTCCTTTCCTTCCTGCCTTCCTTTCGTTCTCTCTCGCTCTCTCTTTTCTTTGTTTCGTGGGGGCATGAGGGTACAGGCCCCCGCGCTGTCCCCGCGCTGTCCCCGCTGTCCCCGCGCCCCAAGTGTTTGTGTGTGTTGTGGCGCGGGCCCCCGAATCTCCTTGCTCCTGACACGTGTCTGCTTCCTTGCTTGTGACGGGCCGTTCTCAACCGAAACTGCACCCCCAAGCCCCCAAGCCACTAGTGGGGGATCCTGAGGCGCCTCACAGGCCGACTCCTGCAATTTGCAAAACACCCCCCCCCCCCCGTTTTAAATCGAGCATCTTCGAGCTTTATCAACTTTATGCAGGCCCAGCGGCGCGTGAAGACTGGGTGCTGCCTCCCACCAGCAATTCAAAATGGCTTCTCCAGCTCCCTCCGGAGAGCCTGGCACATCTTGTGTAGTCTAGGACGTGAACTGTCGCTACTCGTGGACTCGTGGATGTTCTGCGAGCTGAAAGGGCTTGTGGTGATCATGGGCAAAGTTCACCGAGCCGAGGGTGGGGCCGAGGTTCCGAGGATTCGTGGGGTAGGCAAGCCCGTAACCCTGTCCCAGAAGAGTCGGTAGGTGTGTAACATTGGAACCTGGAGCCTGAAGCCTCAGCCCTTCTCGGCAAAAATCTCTTAACTCAATGACTCAATATCTCCAAGGCCATTAGGGCCCACGCTGCACAGACCTTGTTTCGGGTTGAGTCAGTTCAGCTACCTCATTTCCCTCGTTACCTCCCCTATTCGCGGCACAACTCCTCCGCCGTTCAGGGTTCAAGGTCCAGAGGTTTGCAGCGCCTGCGTTCTGGCAGAAGAGCTGCCACGTGCGCTTGACCTCTGCCACGTAATCTGGAGGAAATCGGACCTGCCGAGCTTGGACTGCTGGAGGTGTAGTGTAGGGCTTAGGACTTAGGACTTCGCAAAATCCAACGATCAGCAACTGGCAATGGAAGGTCAAGCCTGCGTAAAGGTTGGGGCTGATTTGTGTGGCGGCCTCTGGGGTTCAGCATTGACGGTGTTCGGGACGGAGATAGGCTGTACAGGGCTCATGACGTGTGGGGGTGTTGGGCCCATTGGTCTTTCAGCTTCTGAGATTCGAGATCCCACACAAAAAGGGCCGAAGCTTGAAGGCTTCACTTCATAACCCCCAAAAAAGGAGGGAGTTCGGGCTCGCAAGGTCCTTGTCCAGGCTCTGGTCGTAAACCACCGCGTACTTTTCCAGTACCTCGTCCTGTGAGAGGTCCAGGCTTCAGGATTCATTCTGGAGGTTTGGGAAGCAGTGTGAGGGGTCCGGGTTTCGCCTCCCATACACTGCATGTTCAGGGCTTCTGATTTTCTTCCATGGATTCATGATCCATGTCGTGCCACAGAAGCTCCACCAAATGCCCTGGGTGCTGTGCTGTGTCGGTGCTAGGTCAGCCATTTATGAGAACAGCTATACACACATATTGTACATGTATATGTATATGTATATATGTATATATGTATATATGTATATATGTATATATGTATATATGTATATATGTATATATGTATATATGTATATATGTATATATGTATATATGTATATATGTATATATGTATATATGTATATATGTATATTTGTATTTCTGTATATATGTATATATGTATATATGTATATATGTATATATGTATATATGTATATATGTATATATGTATATATGTATATGTACGTGTATGTGTATGCGTATGTGTATGTGTATATGTATAATTCTCCTCTTGTAGAAATTGCTTGCACAGCTTCGTTAGTAGCGAAAAGACTTTCGTTGCGCATTCCAAGTGCTGCTGACGTATTGCAGGCGATTTGCAGACTTGGCGCGCTTACAAAGCCACCCCATCAGCAGCAAAAGAAGCAAAGGGGCAAAAGCATAACACGCTGGCCATCGGTTCCACAAGGCAACACAAGAAGGAATGAAATATCCGCACCAGCCCATGCTTGGGGCATGGGCGCGGCCCACAAAGAAAGCTCTGGTCAAGTCCTTCCTCCTCTAAGGTCATATACATGTATGTATGTATGTATGCATACATATATATATATATGTATACACACACATAGATAGATGTAAATATATACATATTGTCTAAGTGCACTAAGGGCTTTGGGCAAAACAAGCATGACGTTAAGTCAACGCAACCCTGCCTGTGCCACGGCTTCCTCGTGGTCCGCCTCGGAGCCATTCTCGCTTCCTTGGTGCAAGCGGCTGTCAACCCGAGATAAACCCACCGCGAAACATCCCCTGCATCCGCTGGCCTGCGCTTCTGGCAGCAGTACAAAAAACAGCATGCCATGATCCTGAAAACCACATCAAGTTTAGGGTTGCTGTATGAAAACATTCTGTTTATGCTTTGCCATCTGCTCTCCAGTCAGAAGCTTCCAAACTTGACGATCGTACCTGGGGGCCCAGCATGCTCCAACAAGGTTCGTGTGGCTTTCACTCTCCAGGCGCTCACAAAAAAGCGCTGATCACGCATGGTAGATGGAAGCAGAAGAGTGCCGCGATCATGCATTGACCGTTTTTTGGAGCGAAGAGCTCCACTGAGCGAAGCTCTCTCACAAGGATGGGTGTGCCTGTGTCTTGCTGTGGTGCTTGCCTGCTGGCATGCAACACTTCTCTGGGCAGGCGCAGGTGCCGGGTCAGGCCATGTGCGGCAACTTCGATTGAAAGCAAGAAAGCCATGCATCTTGACCGGGCTAACATGTCCGTGGTCGCCTTGTTTTTTGCATTTTGCCTGGTTCATTGTGCTTATCACTTGCTGCAGCCAGCCGAGGCCAAAGGTTTTGTAGGCGCACATCCCAATCCCGGCTAAGCTCCACACCTTCGTCTCCACCTTCCATCTCGGCCTCTGCATCCTCCGTCTCCTCCTCCAATTCCTGGCGGGCTTGGGTTCAGGACTGCTTTCAAGTGCAGATTGTGTGGGCGGCGGCAGCAATATTCATTGCCTTCACGCATCGGCTGTTGGTTGTTTGCACGTGTGCTGGATATCCTGAGAAAACACCACATGATGCGTATCGCCGTATTGCACGTATTCAGCGATATTGGCGTTGATGCCGATAAATTGTCCGGCGGTCGTGTGCCGATCGTATGATAGAGGCCCTGTGTGAGCGCACCATTTAATGCCACATCTTGTTGATGCTCGATGGGTCCTCAAAGGGGTCATACTACTTGTTTCAGAAACAGCCAACGTCAGCATGTACTGAAAGATGTTCACCATGATATGACAAGTGGATAACGGTCACTCTAGTTGTGAATCCATTCAGACTTGGCTGGCTGACTTCTCGAGCCGCGCCTCCAAAATCTCTGTTTCCTCCTCCTGTTCTGACGCCATCACCACTCCTTCCTTTGGAAAGAAGTGGAGAGATGTCTACACGCCTTTGCACAGGATTTCTCCTTGATGCAAACGCTGCGCGCCTTCGAGGCTTATCCGAGATAGGAACCTTCAAACCAGCTGCACCCAACCTCAACAGCAACCCCTTACACATCTTCACACTGCTCGGGTACCCACTCCCAAAGGCCCTCAGGAAGGCTTTCGGATTCAGGTTTCAGAAGTTAAGCCCCAAAGCCTGGAAGGACTCCAGTGTCAAGTGTCAAGCTCCCTGGCCCTTAAAGATGTTGAGGCTCACCCTGTGATGGTAAGTCCACGCAAGGTTTCTGATTTCAGACGCGCTTCTGCTTAAGGGAACCATACAAGGCCGAAGATTAGGCTCCGAGCCCTAAGATACGCAGATCCTTACACTAGCTACTCTCCAGCCCTCCCCAAAGCGGATATTGGTGCTCGATTCGTTGGGAGCACGAAAACCCGAACCCGGTACTGGCCCCCCGGGCCGTTGAGGGCTGGCCCAAGAGAGCGCATCAGATCGATCGCCATGTCATTCTCACCTGGAGAACAGTATGGCCTTTCTGGCACCTGTCTAGCAGCCTCGCGTCGCGCTGCAGGATTTCTTGTGAAGGCGGCCAAGCAAAGCTCAGCATTGGGCATCCCGACGCCAGGGGTTCAATGGGCGTCCCTTATGCGTGGTGGGTTGATTCTGATCTGCAGCCACGGCTGCGGTAGGTGTTGGGCTCAAGCACGCCTGGCAGGAAGAACCTCAGAGACACGATGACCACAAGCACTTGAGCTTCCTAAGCAGAAGCACCTGAACTCTGCTTAGGGTTCTCAATGAATAATGCGGCTTCAAAGATGGCTTTATGAAGCTTAGGCCATTTTGAGTTTAGGGTGCAGACTGCTCAAGGGCTTCTTCGGTGCTTTGTCACAACAATCCCATATTGTGAGCCCAACGTGGACAAGGAGTACCCAACCCCATGGAATATAGAAGGCAAAGTCACGTGATCTGGACCTAAGAACCTTGTGAGAGTCGTAGGCCTTTTTCTACAATGCCAAACTGCCAAGATCGCTAAAGAGACTCTGGATTCTAAAAGGCGCCCCCGCCTCTCTGCGCAGCGACCCTGAATGTTATTGTGAGGAAGCAGCTGGGCACTCAGTATGTTCAACCGAACACTCCCCTCATGTCAACACCTCATGACGCAAGGCACATTGGCACCATGCAACTGCTCTAGTTTGGAGCTTTGCTTGCTTGTGGTGCTGCCCGCTAGGGCCCTCAAGGACATGCGCACGTGGAGAAATGAGAAGCAACCTAGTTTTCTTTCGGTGCTCGTTCCATGCCCAGGCACTGCTTCAGAAGCTGACCTTACAATGCACCCGAGGAAGAATAGGGAGTGGCATTAAGTTTTGGGGGGGGGGGGGGGTCGTCAAACGATGGCTCTGCGAATCATATCGTTGAGGCTGTCAGGTCGAACATGGGGTGATCCTTGGCCCGCTTGAAAGGAAGCCAATGAGCTAATGGAAGCTACAATCTAAAGCTTTCCAGATTAAACGGCCCGCCGTGTTGTGTGCCAAGTGCCATGATCTGGGTTCTGCTCTGAAGGAGTACCGTAAGCTGCCGCGCGGGGGTGCTCAAGCGCAGGCTCTGCACATGAGAGCTTTGCATGTTCCCACAAGTTGGCAATAAGTCTTTGGAGCCACTGATCTCTGGCCTGAGTAATGCTTCTGCCACACAAATCGAGGACCCTCTGTAAACAACCTGCCAGGCTTCTTGATAAAGGCAATCCTCTGGCTCCAGTTGGCATGAAGGCTTCGTTCAAACAAACCCCACCCCCCCCCCCACCCCGCAAAAAAAAAAAGCTGCAGAAAAGAAACAAAACAAGAAACGAGGGGGTGAATTTTGAATAATTCTCTGCGAACCTCTCCTACCACTCCGATTCTCGAAGAATGAAACACAAGAAACAACAAGAAGAAACGAGGGTAGAATCATTCTCTCTGCCACTCCTACGATTCCTTTCCTCGACCCACTACCTCTACCCCCCCCCCCCCTACCTCTAGAATCTAGACCCTTCCTTGCGCCCGGAACATAGCCAGTGCATGTCCGGCAACTGTCTTTCTCGCCCATCTGGAACAGAAAAGAAGCCGTGACCTTGCTTCACGGACTCATGTTCGGGTAGTCTTTCTGAGGCTTACACTTTCCTAGTGCCCGGTGCCGAAGATGCGGCAAGGAGTTTTTGGTGTAACCTCGCAGCGGTCGAACCCTGCCGGGGCCTGCAGGTGTCTCTATGACTCTGTGATAATGTCGCGGAAGAGCTCGTGGTCTAGAATCTCCTCCAAATATAGAATCAAAGAAGATCATGCCATGTTCTGACAAGAAGTCTGCCCAAATCACTCCAGGCGCCCATATGCCGAAGCATCAGAAAAACTTCGAACCCTGATCCGAAGGCGAATCCTAGATTTCTGGCAGGCCACGAAGGGAAGGGAGTCCGCACTGTTGACGTCCTGCGTCACCGTCGCTTGATGCCTGCTCGTGCTTCCGCGAGCAGCATGCGGTCAAAGTTTCTGCTTACGACCCCAAGTCTGCGAGTCCGCCCACCTCTTGGCTTCACTACAGCCTGCAAAGCTGTTCGGGCTAGTCTGTCCTAGACACCGATGTAAAGCGAATGCGTATGGCTACCGGCGGCTACCGGCTACCGCTCCAACCTCCACGCAAAACAAGCGGACACCTGCCAAGTCCATGCAGAGAGACCGAATATCTAATTAGATTATCTACTACCGATTCATTCCTTCTGAAGCCACCGGTCCTGGCTCCACAGGGCTAAGGTAACGATTCGTCAGCAAAGACGAGTCTGAGCCCCTACAGAACCCTCCGTGCCTGTGCACGACCTGGAGTTCCGCAGCAAAGCTCTTTCCATCGATCATGTGCTCAGAGGGCATGTGCAGCTGTATCTGTGCCACCTGGCTTGAGGCTGTCAGGCTGGCCCGAATCCAATGGCAGCCCTCGTGTGCGCTGATGGGGCCTAGTTCTCAAAGGACCTTAGGAATTCCGAACGATGCCTTGCTGGGTGTTGCGGACGATTTCTGTACCGAGTTCCGGGGCATCTTCTGGATGAGACTTGGGGGATTGTATCTCACGGTACATATACATATTTACTATAATTTATTTAGTTGTTTATCAGTCGTTTATGCATTTATTACATGCTGATATCAGTCAGTGGGCGGCTCAGCTGGCAAGGGCTTTGAACAAACGAAAAAGCAGCTTCAGGGTATTCTACGCTGAGCCCAATTGCAGAGGGCTCTAGAGCTAAACTTCCGGTGGGGTCTAAAGCAAAGGTATAGAATCCAGCTCTGCCCCGCGCATCAGGAAGTTGAAGTCGCGTCTGGGCCCTACCAATGACTAACCCTCTAATGCCGAAGGCGAAACCGGCTCCGACGACTCACATCCGTTTGAGCCCCACGGCCCTCCCACTCCACACCCCAGCCTCATAGAAGTCGGGGAAACCGTCCTGTGCTCTTCGTACAGCACTGTCGTAACACAGTTTTCCTTTCCCAAGCAAGTACCCTTGTATCCGATGGCTTCCCTGTCAAGGGAATTATTCTTCGGTTGTTCTACGAAAGTGCAGGTGACAGCGATTGGCTGCGGCAGTCCTCTCCCGTCAGCTCGATGTAACCTGGGATACGTCGTTCTTGGCAATTAATACTGCTCATGGCTAGCAGCCTCCTCGTATCCTACCCTGTCGGTGGCGTCTTCCTGCTAAAAAGTTTTCAGCACCCCTTGGGCATTAAAACTCTTGCACGCCACTTCGAGAACTCCGCGAAAAGAACTTGTCAACTAAGCTTTGGTTTTGGGGCTGCAAAAAAGCCTTTGCAGGAAGGCTGGAGGAAGGTTCAACAGACGCTTCAACACGACAGGTTTCCATCCTATAGCGAGCTCGAGCTTCGGACAACTCGCGTCCGAGGATAAAAGTCATACTCTTAAGCATAAACAGAAGGGAGTCCACCGACCGACTATCACAAGGTGTGCAGTTTAGCGTTCGACCGCTCGACCTCTCACTTTGGCAAAGGCAGGCGAGATTGAGGATTTCTTTGCCACCCACCTATCTGACTGACTTGCACTGCAGAGATGAAATCGGGGCGACAGTTTGGATAGTTGAGGCATTTAGTTCGTGGAGTGCTTTCACAATGCGGTTTATCAAGGGTTTACATCGGCATACATCAGACACGCTGCCCATCTGGTTGGTCGGAATGACGAGGCCCTTGCCGTAGTTCCTCAGCAAATCGGGTCTATGAGGGCCCGTGGTGCACTAAACGCAAGGGCTCCCGCTGCAACCCTCAAGTTCTGTTCGGGGGTTGAATAGCTAAGCCCTTGCTGGAGGAACTCGGCCCCTGAAACTTGTGAGGCCTGGCATGAAGTTCACGAAGCCTATGGCATTAGCACACCGTGACAAGATCTCTAAGGTTCCAAAGTTCTGACGATGTAGGTCTTGAAGGGCGAAGTCAGCAGTGCACGCCAGAGCTGTTCGTTAATCCGTTGGGTGGCCGGGGGCAAGGTGCCCTGCTTGCTTCCGGGCTGAGCCACGCCAGCACTGGGGCACCGGCACGACGTGAAGGCCTGTCACCGGACGCCAGCTGCACTTGTTGAGGAAGTTATCCTTGCCCACCGTCGTCACCGTCGGCCTTCCCATGCCGTGTATGGCCGCATTCGTGACAGGGTGGTCTGGTCCGTCTTCTTCTTCTTCGGGGCTTGAGGGAAGCGAGCTCTCTCCTCTCTCTCTCTCTCTCTCTCGCTTTCCTTCTGTGGGGCCTGGGGGGGAACCCCCGCGCAGATGCGCGTCTCGGTCCCGCATTCAGTCGGCACTACCACTCACGTGGCGGTCATGTTGACCGCAGCCACCAGTCGCACCCTTCTCGGCCCGTCCGGCCCCTCATCCTTATTGCCCTCCCCCTCAACCGATATCTAAGCGCCCCTCAATCAGTCCTATTTTCAGATTTTCTCAAGTCAACGTCCCCTCCCCCTCCGTCGGAAATTTCGTCGGAACCTTACAAGTCAACCTCCCCCCCTTTGCATTCTCCATAGTATCCACTGGGTTCCCCCCCCCGCCAATCCCCTTTCCTCCAATACCTGTGCCGGCCTGCATGAGAGTGCCAGGCTAGGTGCTTTTGGGAGGCGAGCCCGGCGGCTTTCGTGATGTCGTTTGTATTGACATTTGTATTCGAATTTATGTGTGTGCGTGGCAGAATTCAATGTAAACATATACATACTTCTAGCTATGTATAGATACTTATACACATATAATATATATATATATATATATACAATGTATGTACTGTAATGTAATGTAATGTAATGCAGTTCAATGCAATGCAATGCTATGCAATGCAATGCAACACAACGCAATGCCATGCAATGCAATGTAATGTCATGTAATGTAATGTATGTACGTGTGTGTGTATACGCGCCTGTATCGTTTACATAATTTTACATACATACATTTACACGCATAACACAAACACACCTGCCATATGCAGTGCGCCAGCCCGATCTCCACTCTCAGGTTTCGCCGTCGCCTCTCGATGTGGATCGGAGATTGCAGCGCTCCTTGAGCGCAGATGGGGTGCCTCAGCGGTTAGGTTTACCTGCTCCCCCCGAAGGCCCCCTCAAGTCAGAACTGACAAAACAAACTCGGGCCAAGACCGGTTTACGCACGGACAGAAAGCCTGTAAAGCTATGCAAAACCCTGGTACCCCAGTAAAAGCAAGGCGGAAGACATGCAGCCAGGATACTCTTGGGCCCAGCAGCTGGGATTGTCATAGTTCCACTCCTCCGAGGTGTGCGGCTTTGGGTCTTTGGGGGAGGTTGGTTCTGTGCTATGTACGGCAAACTTGAGGGAGCTTTGGATTTGCGTGTTCTGGATACTGGTCAAGTTCCAATCACGCCCGCTACTCAGAAGCTTCCGATCTTCGGGCTTCCAATGGCTTACGCATCATGCCAAGCCGAGCCCTCGCCGATGTCAGGCATCACACCCACCCAGATGAACTGAAGGCCGTGCACCTCGTGCGCCGTGCAGGAGCTGTACTTGTCCACCGCCATCTTTGGCAAGCTCTGCTTGAACACCGTGGCCTGCCAAGGGCTTGTCAGACTTTCGGTCGTTCTGTCCAGTTCTTCCCAGGGCGCCGGAGTTCTTGTGCATCGGATTTGTTCGCATCCTTAAACCTGGAGCCCTGCTGAGCCCTGAACCAAAAAAAACTTGTGAGAGCAACGAAGAGTGCACTCGCTGAGGTCCCTCAACATTTCTGATTCAGATGCCTACCATCGCATGCAACATACTAGCGGGACTTCGGGATCAGGTTTTTAGGCCCTTTCCTCAAGCAGAGGACTCAAATGCACGCAGAAGCCCTGATCTGATAGCTTGCGTGCGTAGGCTGAAGCAGCACGAAGAGTTCAAAAGCCCTTGTTATTCAGGGCCTCAACCCGCAAACCTTAAGAGCAAAGGACAGGGCGGCCTTGTATGCCGCATCATCCATCTCAACAGGAAAAATCCGGGTGGAGTCCATTCCAGACACCTGCTTGGCCCAGCTTGTCTCTTGCAAAAGCCTTTTGCATCCGGAGCTGGCTTGTACACCAGAACCCTTGAAGCCGCTTTTTGTGGGGCATCCAGGCCTCCCTAAACTAAGCTGAGACACTGGAGAGAACTGAGAAAAGCACCCTGCAAATCGTCCGCGAACCCGCGGAGCCAGGTCTGTGAGCTCCGAGATGTCGGGGCTCGGAACTTTCAATGTGCAATCATGTAAAGTAAAGTATGGACATAAATAGTATTAATTGACCTGGTCCAGCTTTCAACAGACGTCCCCGAAACATGGGAAAAAGGATGTCGAGATGGAAAGACTGTTTCCAATCGCCGCTAGTATTCTGCCGTACCCTGTGGCTTCAAACTGCACCCAATTGCATACAGCAACCGTCACGCCACTTTTTCCCTCACTGCCAAAACTGTATGATTCCAAACCTCTTCACCCATACGGAGGTATTGAACCGACGATCCGAACTTGGGGCGGCCGCCCAGACTCGCCTCCGAGATCCTTGATCCCTGATCCCTGCCTTCATATCCAGGTAGTTCAGCTGCAAAAAGCTTGCTTGGAGCGGGGTCCTCGGCTCAAGTGAGAAGGAGATAAAGCTTGAGGGTTGGGATGAAGTGAAACAAGAAGAAGCCCAGCCACTGGAGCAACAGCCAGCGAACGCCCCAGTCAGGGCATCCAGGCGTCACCATCCCACCTCCAAGAACTGCAACGCTTCTCGACTCCCTCTTCGGACCGAGGGCCCCACAAGGCACTGCCAAAGCAGGATGTGCAACCGCAGCAGTGCCGAAGTGCCGTTGTTAGGCTATGAAGCATGGATGTTCACCTGATGTTTGGCCATATTCATATTGCGATATTCCTGCTAGGGGAAAGTGCCATGGTTGCCGTATTTCGAGAAGCTAGGCATCAAGCCACGTTGGGGGTGGGGACCAGGGGCGCAAAGGGCTCGTGACGCTACCAGCTACCCCGCGATTCCGTGTCAGGGTTCTCGGCTACTCTCTACCCAGAAGCCCTTTATGAACCAAGGTGACTTAAGCCCTTACAAACCCTGCAAAGCCCCGGCACGGGCCTCTGTACCACATCCAGGGCCCATCAAGTGCCTGCAGGGGCGGCAGGGGCTGGGGCCAAGTCCGGCCCGGTTGTTTCTCGACGCACTGCGGGGGGTTTATGGTTCGTGGAAATCGCCCCTCGTGCCTAGTTAGCGTTCTGGCTGTAAAGACGGAGCTATCATTATCAGAGTGTATCCCTGAACCCTAAACCCTTCCACCCCGAACGCTTAAAGCAACCCACTCCCTCAAACGTAAACTCAGGGTGTGAGTGCCTGGCGAACGCTGACGCTCCGCGAAGCCCCCAAAAGCCCATTTCAGTGGCTGTGATGAAACAAAGCACCCCATATACCGTTGTTGCACTCGTACTAAGGACGAGACCTAGGCTTTGGCCGATAGATCCGAGACAGCACGACCCAAATCCAAGAGAACCGACCCTACACCCCAAGGCCGCAAAGTTCTCCGCACCCGCTGGCCTTCGAAAGAGCACCACGAAGGTTCACGGTGTTCTCGATGGTGTAGGGGTGCATGGCGCTGATCGAGTCCCTATACCTTCCGTGACAAATCAGGATTTCAGCTCCCTCGGACCCAGATGCCTGGAAGCTGCGCCTTTTGCATCGTGCTTGCCTCTCTCGCGCCCGGTTTGTGCTCAGTGGAATCCGTGCCTGAACCCTAAACTCCCAAAAACCGTTCTTGCCACCTTACTAATTACCAAGGCTCTGCGAGTTTCAACGCCCCATCCCGAGTGGCGGACAACAACCCTCCGCCGGAATCTGTAAACCCACTTGTTCTTGCCCTCAACTCCTCAACGGTTCAACGCTCACGTCCGCTCGAAAGACGAGTGGCGCGTCGAAAGGCAAGCCCAACTCGCGGAGCAGCGCGTTCTCCTGAGGGCTTGGGTTCTAGGACTCATTGGGCTCCAAGCTGGGCCACCCTAGCCGCAAAATTGTGTCGTGCCTACAACCAAGACCCATCGCGCGCACACTCACACACACACAGAGACAGAGCAAGGCTCTTCAAGGTGACGGCGAGTTACTTGGCACTTGGGTGTCAGAACAGACAAAGGGGCAATCGTCCCTAACACCCGACGATCGACGGGAACGCCCAGGTTGCCGAGTTTCAGTGCCGATCTCCACAGGGATGCTCATGATCACACGATGGAAGCCCTGGCTTGTTTCGCCCACTGTTCAGTTTCAAGAAGCTGCAAAGAAGACCCTACGATACCCTACGCAACAGCTTGAGATTCAGTTCCTGTCTGAGAATTGCAGGGCTTGGCCACTGTCACGCGTTTGGGCCTCGGGTCTTGGAAGCCCTGAGCCTCAACCCTGGAAAGATTCGTCTTGCTGGGCTGTTCCTGCTACCGGCGACCTATCAAGAAGGCAGGCGGCTTTCTGTTAAACGAAGAGTGCTGCGAATGTTGCCTCCACGGCTCCTGATGCCAAACGCCGGTGCCCCTCGGTGGGTAGTGGGTAGTCACATGACTCAGCATTACTCCCGCAGTCACCTCATGCAACTTATGCCCAAGAATTGAGGCCAGCGTCCCCAGTGCCGTGACCATCCGTACTGTGGCCACCATCCGTGCTGTGGCCACCGTCCGTACTGTGGTCACCATCCGTGCTGTGGCCACCGTCCGTGCTGTGGCCACCATCCGTGCTGTGGCCACCGTCCGTGCTGTGGCCACCGTCTGTGCTGTGATCGCCACCAGTGCTGCCATCCCCGTGCTCATCAGAGCTGTGATCACCACCGCTGTGCCCGCCATCCCCATGATCACCGCTAGAATCGTGACCGTCTCCAGAGCTGTGGTCACCGCCACTGGCATCATGGCCTTCATCTCCATGACCACCAGAGCTGTGTTCATCTCCCCCTCCTCCGGCGTGCACCTGCTTAGGCACAGCTGCTTCTCTACATGGCCGTCAAGGAAGTCCGACAAAACTAGCTGGCAGCAGCTTTTGACGTCGTGAAGTCACACATGCCTACATACAGGTGTGTGGCTCACCCACCAAGTTGGTCTGAAGCAAACTATGTGGCCTTGACAGCAACTGCACACTCCTCCCTGAAAGCTGCTTAGGCAGTCGTCCCCCAATGTCTTCCGAACTGATGAGCTAGCCAGGACAAACCTCGTTTCGCAAGCAAGGTGTTTGTACAGAGCGGCCCCAGAATGTTGCGCAAGCTTGTTGAACCCATCGCCGTCCATGATGGCTTCTACCTGCGCAGCGGAATCACTGAAGCAACTTTCTGTTGCTGGAATTCTCAGCACCCTAGGCGCAGGTGTGAGAGGCGTTCATGGTTACAGACTCAGCGGCTCATCACCGCGTAGTTCTTACACTGATGCCACACCGGCAGTGCTGGCCCAAAGGAGTCTACAACGGACTACCGGCCTGAATCTCTGCAGCATAGTGCTTGCCATTGTACTTGTGGGAAGATATCGGCTTCACCTTGCATCCAAGGGGGGTTTGGTCCCGCCTGCCAACAATCCTTGAAAAGCCGCACCGAGCTTCTCAAAGGACTCAAAGCGACTAACAACTACCCACACGCTCTTGTGCGAAATCACTGCAAGTCAGGTCGTTGGGTCGGTGAAGCCACCCTACAATGCTGGGCTTTGGGTAGTCAGCCTTTTTGTTAGCCTCGCAACTGCCTCGCACCACCTACAGCCATGAAGTCTGCGGCCAAGGTTCGGAGATCTTGTGCATGAGGAAACCTGCAGAGGCCCAAGTAAGGCCACGGGTCCGGGGAACTTCAGCGGCTTCAGCGGCTTCGAGGGCTTCATCGCACACTCCCTTACAAAGTGCCCTCGTCCTAAGGAATCCTGGGACCAGCGAGAGCTGCACGCCGAGGAGCTTCGACCATTGACCTGTGGGTTCACTTGGGTGGTTCCAGCGTACTCAGGGCACCTGCTCGACTTCCAAGGTGTTGGTGTAGGATTTTCGGCTTCTGGGAGGCTTGGCGGGGCTTATTTGGGATGGGGGTTGGTCACGATATGGAACTACGGAGGAGGATCCGCCTACATGGCCACCCCCGCAACGTGCCTGAATGCTCCCAAAGTTGGTGATGGCCCCAGGCACGGCGAACCTGACTGATGAGGCTTCTGGTGGCTCCTGGTTCAGGTTCGGCCCACGAGGGCCCACCAAGGATTCGTCAGAATTACGCACACAGGTTGTTCGAACTTTGGGTTCCCTTTTGTGGGGCGACCTTCCATCATTCTTTTACCTACCTGTGGCGAAGGCTGGGAACTGCCAGCTGAAGGAACTCCGGTGCTGCAACTGTTAGTCGGAGTTCTAGTTCCTAGTTGTCCGAGTTCGTGAATGCCATACCAACCCCAACCAGTCCAAGCAGTCCAAGCAGCATGTTGGGCAGGGCATCCAAGGTATAGTTGCTTGGCGTCACTGTCACACCCTTCACCTCGGGCAACAAGATAACAAGTCCTCACCGTGCGCGCTCTGCATTTTTTCCGACTAAAACATTCCACTTCACTTCTAATTCTTGGTGCAAAAGCAGCGAAGCCTTCAGGTCTCGGGGCATTGGGTTGTTGGGACAAAGCAGCATTTGCAAGGGCACCTCCGCCCCAGGCAGATGATCACCCCAAAACCCCCCCTCCCCCACCCCACGAGACCAGGCTGCAGGGGCCATGTTGAAGCTCAGCGAGCCTTGGCAGGGGGCCATATCTTCAAGGGCCCGAGTCCAAAGCTACACAGCTGTGGAGGTTCTGGACCCAACTAGGGCCAAGGAGCCGCCCGCGGCAGTGCCGGCCATTTCTGGAACGAGGTTGATGGGCGAAATCGAGCAGCGTGCCTTCTCATCTGCCTTGCCCGAGGCCAGAAGTCCATGGTACAAACTCTGAAGCCCATGTCTGAGGAGTCTGTTTGGGCCACGAGCGGGAGTTCTCGGGGATTCTACGATGCTCTAGGCGACGGTCTTCCGGATCTGTTCTTTGGGGCCGAGGGGAGCGGCAGCTCTGAGCCTTTTGGGAGGAGGGCTTACGAAGCCCAAAGGCCTGAACTCCCGGGGAGGGTTTGGGGCGTTTTGAGAGGGCTTTCGTGTGCGGATCAAAGGCGTCGAAGGCGCCGTCATCCCTGAGTCCCAGCAGTCGGCAAGCCGGTACCAGGTCTTGTTTGCCCATGCGGCCTCAACAACAAAAAGCGCTTTCTCAAGGGGTGGGGGCTGCCAAGTAGAATGTCTTCGAGGGTCTGCGCTGAGCATGCAATGTACACATCCCCTACCGAAGATCAGACTGAAAAAATCGAAGAGTAATCGAAGCATCTGAAAGGGCTTGGGGCGCGCAGGCCGTGTATGAGCAAGGCCTGTTGCACCCATGCACACGTGATCCAAACACTTGCACCTGGAGATTCTCAACGAGAAGACCAAAGCAATGTGGCTGCTGAGCTGCTAAGCCACGACAAGGAGCATGGAAAGCTTCGTCTACCAAATATCAAAATGAGATGGGCCGGAAAAGAAGGAAAAGAAGGCAAACACCAAAATAACCCTTCGGCCTGACACGTGGCTTCGCTGTGGTGGCCAGCCTTGACCTGAATGGCTCTGGGCTCGAAAGAGTTCTAAAGTAGCTCAGCTTCTGAAGGGGGCTCACGAAAAAACTACGAGATGCGTGAAACCCTGTATGCACCGGCGACCGCTCCCTGAGTACGGGACACGCGCATAGCCGCTACGCCCACCCCCCCCCCCTTTGCGGGGCGAGACCCAGTGGCATCTCCATGCGCACGAAACTTCTCAAGCAAATGCTTCAACCCATATCCCTGAGCTTGATACCCTGAGGCTGTTCTTGACGATCTCGCGGCACTTGCCGGCCCCGTTGGGAAATGGGCTGCCTTGCTTTGCATCGTGCGAAGCTCGGACGCCCGAATCCTAGCAACTATTTCAGTCCTCTCAACTGTATGTATGCAGCCCATCATCAGCCTGCGTATAGATTACTCGATCATTGACACCGACACAACGGCTACATTTGCGACTTCGCACTGCGAGTAGGGCTTAGGGCCCACTGAGATGGAGCAAAACAAGGGCTAAAACAATCTTCGTCAGGGATGCGCTTCTTGTAGCCCCCAGCCAGGCACTGGAGAACGTCGCGGAGCTTCGCCGTCTGCAGGGGGCTCACCTTCAAAGCCTCCCCGATGCTCAGGCGATGCAGGGCCTTAAGGTTCCTTAAGGTGCCTGTAACCAGTAGCTGCAATAGCTCAGTAGCTCAGGGACTAATCGCCGCGCCACGAAGCCTCGCCAATGTCTAAAATGACACGCCCCAACGCAACCGAAACCAGGAAAGGGCAAACACACATGTGCAAGAGAAAAAGCCGACGCAGGGCGCGTGGATGTCTTTTGGCATGTGACAACTCTCAAGACTCAGCACCACGTTCGGCATCACCTGTGAGGCTGCTTGGACCACCTATCCGCTTTTCGCACCGCGACCACACAACAAGCAAAACGTAGAGACGTAGAGCCAACATCAACCAACGAAACCCGCCGCTGTTTGCAAACAGCTTCTCATGAATCAGGCCGGTCCTATAGCTTCGCGCTGCTAGTCCCCCACAGACTCAACTCTGTTCCACGTTGAGAAGGCCCCCTGTTTGAGACACACTTGCTGGGCGTCGCGGTCAGCTGCTCTCGCCGGGGTGGCAACATGAAGCAGAAGCGGATTGGGGTTCGTAAACGTTTCAAAAACGGTTCAGAACTATGATAACGGCCGTTGACATCCTATGCCACCCGTCGAGCTGGGGATGCTACAACATCAAGTTAAAAAGATCCTCTCCTTCTGCGTCTACTTACTGCCTATCAGCCCATCATCCGAGTGCCTACTCCTCCGTTTGCAAAGCAGCCGGCAGGTCACTCAGCGTTGGCGGCCGCCCGGATCGTCTCCAAGTCCTGTTGCATGCGCCAGTGGCCGGACCCCTTCATGCGGGATGCGTCGTAGAAGGCTTTGGTTTCTTTGGAGCCAGACTTGGAATAGAGGACATCGACCGCGTACATGTCGTCGTCCGTGCCACGGATGTACTGGTACATGAGCAGGGGCGGCAGGCATGGCCAAACCACGGTTCGGCAGAAAGTGCCCAGCTTGATCACGTTGCAGAAGCTCTGCGCGCTTGCCTGCGGGGCCGTGATGAACTTGTGAGCCACGATCACGAGCTCGCCGATGCTGGCCATGGCGACTCCAACTCGTTGGAGGCCTACAGTAGACGGTCACAGCCTTCGAGCACTAGCACGCATAGACACATCATGCCAGACTTCAACAGACAGCTGACCCCTCATGATGTTCAACGCTGCGTGCGCCTACTGAGGGCCTACCCGCCGAGGCGTTATCTCTGTTTTCATTTCTCATGCGTACAACCATGCCAGCCTTCAGCGGCACAAAACGTGCGATGACTTCGGCAAATGCTTATGTTCGAAAATGTTTGCTGCCTACTCAGCGTTGGCAGCCGCCCGGATCGTCTCCAAGTCCTGCTGCATGCGCCAGTGGCCGGACCCCTTCATGCGGGATGCGTCGTAGAAGGCTTTGGTTTCTTTGGAGCCAGACTTGGAATAGAGGACATCGACCGCGTACATGTCATCGTCCGTGCCACGGATGTACTGGTACATGAGCAGGGGCGGCAGGCATGGCCAAACCACGGTTCGACAGAAAGTGCCCAGCTTGATCACGTTGCAGAAGCTCTGCGCGCTTGCCTGCGGGGCCGTGATGAACTTGTGAGCGACGATCACGAGCTCGCCGATGCTGGCCATGGCTATGTCAGATCAGTGTGTAAGTTCCAAACAATAAGAGCCAAACTGCCGGAAGCGTTCAGGGCAAGAGCTATACTTCTGGACAGACTCATGAACACGGAGTGCAACGAAGCTATAACTGTCTTGGGCTCACGAGCTGCTACGTCAATTGAGACATCATGCGTTCGCGTGTGCTTTTGCACCGATGACAGTTCAAGGTGGTAAAGCTTCATATTTGTACATCCAGAAACTAGACTGCAGCGCTGTGCCTACTCTGTCTACTCGGCGTTGGCGGCCGCCCGGATCGTCTCCAAGTCCTGCTGCATGCGCCAGTGGCCGGACCCCTTCATGCGGGATGCATCGTAGAAGGCTTTAGTTTCTTTGGAGCCAGACTTGGAATAGAGGACATCGACCGCGTACATGTCGTCGTCCGTGCCACGGATGTACTGGTACATGAGCAGGGGCGGCAGGCATGGCCAAACCACGGTTCGACAGAAAGTGCCCAGCTTGATCACGTTGCAGAAGCTCTGCGCGCTTGCCTGCGGGGCCGTGATGAACTTGTGAGCCACGATCACGAGCTCGCCGATGCTGGCCATGGTGTCGGACAAAACTCCCAGCACAAGGCAGCTACGAGGCTTAATGAGCTACGCGGTTGCAGGCATGTTGAGTCGAAAAGTCCCATGCGCTCTCTCTCTCTCTCTCTCTCTCTCTGCCTCCCTCCTTCCCTCCCTTCTTTCCAGCATACCCTACGCCCTACGCTCTCTCTCTCTCTCTCTCGTTCATTTCATTCTGTATTTCTTGTTCTCTCTCTCTCTGTCTGCCTCCCGCTCGCTTCTTCTTCTTCTTCTTCTTCTTCTTCTTCTTCTTCTTCTTCTTCTTCTTCTTCTTCTTCTTCTTCTTCTTCTTCTTCTTCTTCTTCTTCTTCTTCTTCTTCTTCTTCTTCTTCTTCTTCTTCTTCCTGCGTTCCCTCTCTCCTCTCTCTCTCTCTCATCATGGCCTTGGTTCCTCCCACCCCCGAAGACCGAAGAGGCTACTGGCCCTGTGGAGCCTTGCCAAGCACCAGGTACTTGATGCTCTCTGTGCAGGGTGGCACCTTATATCAATTCGAGGAAAAAGGCTCTGGTGCTTGGGTCCCGCTTCTGGTGGGGTGGGCCTTAGGGCTTCAGGGTCAATGGTTTCCGATGTTTTCAAGATGTGCGTTTCGAGGAATTGCAAGACATTTCGGCACGATGTACACGACATCGCTGCAGTCCCATCCCTAGTAAGATCGGGCATGCCGGACACGCATGCTGCCGCTGTGCGCGGCAAAAAGGTTCCTCATGCAAGGTTGGCTTCACAGGAGACGGTGCATGAGGGTGGGCTGGTAGGGGAACCAAAGCCCTGCTACCACGTCCAATGCAGCCGGCAGCCAGATGCGCTGCGCAACCGGAACACTCTGCCCGTCCAAGCACTAACCAGAATGCGAACAACCTTTTCTTTAAGAGGCAGTGTGCAGACAGATACTTTTTGAAGCCGACCTGAAAGGCAACTCTCAAGGCGCCGCCGCTTGGCACAAGATTGCAAAAGACGCGAAGAAACACCCCAAGCCACCACGAGGCAGGGACGGGAACAGACCCTTCGTACTGGTAGGTCGCGCCAGTCAGTGCATCCTTCAGGGTCAGCTTTTTGCGCGTGCTTGGGAAGGTGGGTGCGTGCGTGGGTGCGAGCGTGCGAGCGTGCGTGTAAACAACTCGGGTCTGGAACGGCCAAGGTAGGGACACGCACTTGATTTTCAGAGGAGTCCTGGAGTGTGTCCATCAGATCCACGAAGTGAGGCAGTTGCCATGAACTCTGCGCTTCCATCTCAGGACCAACCTGCCACGAGGGCAGGTGATGCCAAAGCTTAAGTAACTGCAGACGAGCGGCGGGACGGGGCAGCTTTCCGGTGCTTCGGAACCCGTGAAAGGCATTTTGTGGGGCGTGTTCAACCAGGTCTGAATCTAGCAGTAGTTTTTTAGAACCTCGTTCTACGCAAGGTGCTGACATATTTCGTAAGGGATAGACTATGGGTTGAAATGTGAGTGAGGTCTGCCAAACCTGCCACTTGAGGTTTGTGGAATCACGTGGTGTCGGAACTCGGGTCCGGGCTCCCATTCAAAAATGGCAAGACTTGCTTTTGGTTGGTCGACTGTCTGGTCTCCCTTGAGCCCCAACTAGTGCAGTACGAACCCTGAGGCCTTCGGCATTCCCAAGTGCTCGAACAGTGCGCTGTCCGCGTCATCGTCATGCTCGAACATCACGCTCACAATCTCAGTTTGGCGCTCTCCCTCTGTGGATTACCGGCCTTGATCGGCCTTGACTTGTCTCATGCGAATGCATTTCTTCGACGAAACTCCACATGCCCTTCCCCAAAACCACCTGAGCCTCTTTGGCGTCCAAGGCCTCCGATTAACCTCAAGCCCTGACCCTCCCGAAGAAAACTGCGGGCAATTCTTTTTTTGGGACATGTTGCTGTTTGAATTCAGTAAGTGCTTCCTTCCCGCGTGCTGGGAACACAATCAAGGTTTCGTGCGCGGTGCTTATGTGTGTCAACCTGCCCAGACTCACAGCTTCTTGCACCTTGAACGACAACAGGGTGCCCAATCTGGGAAAGCCAGCGAAGCGGAAAAGGTTGGAACTTGAGCATCGGGTCCGTGCTTGTCGTTGGAATCCCCCTGTGAGGCCCACCATCCCCTGAACCGGAGCTCAGGCCCGGGCCACACCGCCCTTGGTCATGTCGCTGGCAGCCTTGGGCTTGTGAAGGATCTGGAGCTCTGCCTTAAAGGCAGGGTCAATGGCACACAGCTGCCCTGAGGCTGTGAGGATCGGTGAGGATCCACGAGGGTCCCTGAGTGGGTTCTGGCATCGCGAGAACCCTTCAAAGCACACCACCTCAAACACCCTCTCTATTGCTGGACAAACTATGTGCATGTGTGACATGGTCTTGCTGAGTCTTCCCGCTACACAGCTCCTCAGCCCTCGCATTGACTAAGCTTGCTGCTGCCGCGGACGCACCGTTCAAGGTGTGCCAGCTGTCCGCCGAGAGGTGGATCTGTCAATGACGCCAGCAACTTGCACTTGCCTCCTCCCTCAATTCCTGAATTGCATCAACGCATGGCGTGGCTCGCGGCCTGGAGCGAATGGACATGACTGGACGTGTGCTCAAAGAATCTCATGCACGAACTTCCGGAGCCTGATGCGCCGTGTACTCAACATCCACACCAGTCTCGTCCTTCTAAGCGATGATGTGGAATCATGCGCCGTTCTAAACTATTCAATCATGCAGCACTTCTTGCGAGCTTCAAGCCCCTTGCGAGCCAGCTGACACCATGACGGGCCATGACGTGCAAACGTTGATCCGAGAAGAAGGGGTCTAGGGACTGTGAGGGAGCATCGGTGCCCGACTGGTCCGACTGGCCCGACTGCAGCTTTCGGAGAATGAGCTGCCACAATGTGCCCGCCATGCGAAGATCTGAGTAGGTCCATGGCTGAGAAGACTCACACCCAGGTGCGGGGGGGGTGACACATCTACCTCAACTCTCGAACATTTCACTTCCAATGCCGCCTCGCGAGCCTACTCCAACCGTTCATGATGCGCAGCGGCGCAACCAGGGCAGCGTAGGGAAGCTTGCTACGCTCAAGTGTTTACGATTTGCTCCAAGTGTCGTGCTGACACGCCTGTGCCCCTCCACAAGTGTTTGCATTTTGTGCTCGAGTGCTGCAGTCCGGTGGGATTCAGCAGGTATCGCCAGGTGCCACACGGCGACGACAGATTCCACCGCGGGAGCGGTGGGTGTCTATTGTGTTGAGCTCACCAGCAATTTCTGGCATCTACCGGCACAAGCCACCTCAATATAGGGCTTTTTAGGGCCGGTCCTCCAGCATGATGGAGCCAAAGTCTGCATCCAGCATCACGGAACGCATGTAAGGGCTCACCTTGACCTGCACGCAGCTGAAGGGGTGAGAGTTCCAGCAGAAGCGATGCGAGGCTTACTACCAGTAGGTGCTTCCAAGGGAGAGCGGAGATCTCCCACGGCCTTCCGAGGCCTACATCAGAAATGGATGCTGAAGAGGATGTGCAGTCGGAAGGCATATAAACAGCCCAAACGTTAAACTCAAAGTTAACGTGAGTAAGCAATAATGGCAATCATGTAATGAAAGGTATTCTTAAGATTGTGAGAGAATTCGACAGTGCCAGGCATGTCAGAAGACACTAAAAAATAGAGTTTAGTCAGGTTGAGCCACCATCGGATCTTGTGAATGCGGCTCAATGTACATCTTGGAGGCAGAGAACCTATCTTTTTATGCAATTTCCTCGGCAGGGGGGGCAACCCCCACAATACCCCCACAATACCCCCACACAGCTAAAGCCCGACGTGAGACCACTGTCAGAGGCAGACCCAAAGCTGCCCCGCAAACTCCACATTCCCAAGCGCCAAAGCCCTGCGTCTGAGGCCTGGGGGGTGCCACCGGCCACTGTGTACATCGCCCTTCCCTCCAGCAGGCCATCCTGTTGTTGCGGCACAGGTTTCTCTGCTTCCTGCCCATGATACCAGTGCTTCCAAAGATTCAGGTTACTGTCCCCTCCCCCAGACCCATGGCTCCGCCCTTTTCTTTGGTACTTTAAGCCCAACGGCTGAGCGTTAAAAAACATCTGTGCCTTTGAAGCCAATTCAATCCCAATAAGCGGGGGCCTCTTGAGGCCTGTTTTGGCGATTTACTTCAGGGCTTGGGATTAGTGCAAGAGTTTGAGAATCAGAGAATCAGGCTTCGGAGTCATCCATGAAATTCAAGAAGAGCCTACACACCATTCGGAGCCCAAACCCTAAATCCTGGATGGGGGGGAGATGCAGGGTTTTAGTGTAGGGCGGGGGTGGAAGGGGGGAGAAGAGGGGAAGTGGGGGTGGTGGGGCACACTCTCACACTCACACTCTCACTCTCACACGATCACTCACACTCTCCCCTCACACTCTCTCAGACACACCCGCACACCCACACCCCCACGCCCCCCAGACCCACAGCCCACACACCCGCACCCTCCCATGCGCGCGCGCACATTTGGCTGGTCTGACTACTTGCCAGTCTCCCATATCCAGTAGCATAAGCATAGAATTCCAGCGCCCGGGGGGGCGAAAGCTCAAGCAGCACGAGGCGAGGCAAGCGAACGCGGCCCGGACTTTTAACAAACACCGGCAAGCTACGCGGCCTGTCCACGCACAGCCCTTGACCAGGCCCGAGAAGGGGACCACCTGAAAGTGATGCCTGTAAGCCACAAGATCCCGAATCCCGGCTTCGCCCCAGGTCCTGGCCCTGGCCATCGCTTCGGACACACGGCCCGGCTGTGAGCACGTTTACCGGAGACTGGCGTTCGCCCGCACAGGACAGAAACCTGGCACAGTCTCGAAGTCTGGGAGTTTCGACTCACACTTGCACGAGGCAAGACATCGGATGAGTTTAGGTTTAGGGGCTGTTTAGGGCTTTTGTCTACACATTTTTTAGGGCTTCACCACCCCCTCTGCAGCCAAAAGCAATCGACTATTTGGCCGTGATAGGTTCTGTTGCTTCCTGCTCAGCAGTCTCACACCACAATCTAGCCTCCTGAGCCTGCAACACTGGGCAAGCTGTACCGCATGCTCACTATCTCACGTCATCACATTGTTTAGGGCGTAAAGGGTTTGTTTGGCAACAGCCCCGCTGTCAGCCTGATCCCTACGACCCGTGTGCAAGATCCAAAAAAATCCCGCCTAGACCATCTTGTTTCAGGGCTCAGGGCCCCAGACCCGAGCAGACATTCTCCCAGAACCCAAGAGAGCCCGCGCGGGTACCCCGCCTGTCTGGCCAATCCCTCTGCTCTGCGAAAGTCCAGTTGTTAGGCGACAGCGGCCAACCAAAGGGAGAAGCCTCGCCGAGCGCGGCCAAAACTTGGGGAGAAGTTCAGGGTCCTCGACATGGGATGGGGTGCTGACTAGCCCGAGCACGAATTCACGCACTAAAAGCACTCATCAGACTGCTATGCCCCAAGATCTGCCAAGATGCCTGCTCCAGATATGGGGTCCTCGGCCAAGTTGGGCAGCCGCCGAGTATCGCCTCTGCCTGCTCTCTCTCTCTCTCTCTCTCTCTCTCTCTCTCTCTCTCAACGATGAAACTGCAAAGGGTGACGGGAGCTGGTGAAGGGATACCCTTTATCCTGAATTAGTTCGGTGCTTTGGGCCAGATGTAAGTCAGCCCAAACTGGAGCACCAAGGACCCCAACATCTAAGCAGTTTAACCCGGCTCGCCCTCAATTTTGTAACCCAACTATACCCAACTCCAAGTTTCAAGTCTTCGAGGCCTCTAGGACACAAAGCGCAAGGATGGCATGGACAGCCACAGAAGGCGCCTCAAGCAGGATGTGGATCGGATAGAAATTGGGGAGAATTGGGGCAAGTGACAACGCCCTTGGCGACTTCGCGCAGGTGAAGATGGCTACAGTAACACTGTACTTTCTCGCCCCTAGGTTTGCTGACCCTTTAACAAATCCTTCAGACATTTCGCGGCTACAAGCTTATAGGGCCTTAGGGGTACGAGTTTTGGTCCCTTTGTATGGCCAGATGAAGACCGTCAGACCATTTCCAGCCAGCATTAAACAATCTTCAGTGGGGACGCTGATAGCATGGCTTGTCATCGCACAACGCTCATGCTCGGTCACAGCCCCAATGCAACGGAAAGCAAATTGGAGATACTCACGATGATCACGGCCCGACATGCACAATCCCTGTGAAGCAACGCCAAAACGGTGCCCAAGTGCAGGCTTCCGCAACGGCAGGCGCGGCACGGCCAAGGCTTTTGGATGCTTGCTTGCAGGCTGACAGAGGCAACGATTTCTGGTCAACCCCCCTGGCTAGCTCTTGAAACGAGAACCCTTCGTTAGAGATATATATGTGTCCGGTCCCTCGCTTCGCTGGCGTATCGACTGAGCCTCGCCACGGTAGACGAATATGCGGGACCAGGTACCTCCGAAAGACCTCTCTGCGCAAGCACATTCCTTTTGTCGGCGATACTTGCCTCACTTGGCCCACCTACCCAACTTGAAGCACCAGGAGGTTTCAGCAAAAGACATGCACGCGGTCTGCGCTACCCCGGTCGGTCCACAGTATTTTCCTCGAGGGCTCAGGGTTTGAGAGGTTAGATGCGGTTGATCTACGAGTGGACTTGGTTGTATTTCGGAGCGATGTGCCGGGCAACACATTACATGCGTTCGAGAGTATCGGGCGGCAACTTTTGTACTTGACTCATGTAGCCGCTGTCGCCAACATGCTCGGGGGCCCCAGAATTCGATCCGGTTGGCTGACACAGGACAGTCGGGCTAGGATGCAGGTGGTGAGGGACGAGGCACAAAGGGGAGGAGCACTACAAGGAGCTGCTCAGCAAGGCGCCGCAGGCTGCCGTAACTGCGGCCCAGATATATCAGGATGCACAGCTGTCATGAGGCACCAAATGGATCTGGAGCAGAGTGTGAGCATGACAGCTCCGGAGCTCAGGATGCTCGGAGGGTTGCCAACTCGGAACTGAGCTTCTGTGCTTTGCAGGGCCATGCATCGCCACCAGTTCCTCACCGTTGCTGAGGCGACGCAATTGACGCACGGGACCTCAATTGAGGAAGGGAAAGGGCAGCCCCACAGCCCCAGCAGATCCTCAGGTCACCACAAATACCACCACAGCAGCAAGCACTCAAAAAGAATACAGGAAGTACCAAGGAGAAAGAAGCTGCAGCTTGTACTCGCAAGATGCAAACGAAGTCCAACAAGAACAGGGCAGTTAACATCGGGCCAACAAGGCAGCACACACCTCACGAGCGCAAAGTTTGACAGCACCCACAGTGACGGTGATGGCGACGGTGACGGTGAGGATGATGAAGCTCTATGCGTAGCAGCCCTTATATGATACCTCCCCTTCTCACACCCAAACCCTACACCCGTAGCTTCCTCAAAAAGGCATACGGCGGCACTTGGCCACTGAGCTCCAAACCCACATGGCCTCTGGCGCGGTCGAGCGCAACAAACACTCAGCCAGACGGCTACAAAGGGAAGCGGGCTCCTGTGAAACTGCAAACTCTATAACTATTATAAACCCTGGCGACCCAATTGCCGCCAAGAACAGAAAACACGGAGATCTCCAAAGAGGGCCCGTTCCGTTCAATTCACGGTCTCTGCGAATCTTACATCCTAAGCCCATATGGGCAAAACCAGCCGTTGCTTTAGGGAATTTTCCTGATCGCAACAGATACCACGGTAAGTTACTGTCACTGTAACAGCCCTGCACAGAATCCGTTGGAAAGACTGCTCATGTACTACGCGGGGGCATCCTACGCACAACAGTAGCCATCAAAGAAGTGGTGCAAAGAAGGGTTGCTCTTCTGACTTCGCGCACCGGTGCGTTGGTTTCTCCATCTCTACCGTCCATGAAAAGTGTCTCTCGTAGGTTCAGGGCATTCACAGGTCCTAGGATGTGGATCGCCGCACAAGTTTGCTGAACAGCTACGAGCAAGATGCTTCAAAGCGGGCTATGATGTGTATGCGATGCAAAGCCAGATTAGCACGTTTTCATGCTTTCAAAGAATCAACGTTGCCAGAGGCAAAGTTGACAGTTGCTTGGAAATGTTCTTTGGCTCTCGGTATCTTTTCCTTCTTCGGCTTTGAAATGATTTTTGGAGACGTTCTTGCCTAACTTGCCTACTCCTGGGTTTCGAGCTCGGAGGTCGACATAGCTTGACCCTATATTCCATATAAGCCCGTGCAGAAGAAGAGCATGGCATAATCAGCTTGGGTGGGGCGCACGAACGGGCCAAAAGTGACCGCTGAGGCGGCCCATTCTCCAGGCCCTTCTCAATGCAGACCTCGGCGGCTCCCAAAAATATACATGATATGAAGAATGACATACTGATAGGAATCTGAACCTAAAAGCACAGGCGTCATTCTTGCTGGGCATCCGCTTGGACTTTCGGACCGGAGCAGAGCTACCAAACTCTTCTCGCGCCAAATTTCTTGTCAAAGGCCCCTGACAAGTCCCGGCGTTTTGCTCGCCCGCCGTTGGCTCTCTCACATGGTCGACCAGCAGGTCACGGGGTTCGGGCTTCAAGGGCTGCTCCTGGCTAACGCGCCTTGATCGCACCTCTTGTTGCCTCTTACAACTCTTGCCGATTCCGCTCACTTGTATGCGTCGAAGTCCTGAGTCCTGCATTGCGAGCGGCGCTCGTATGACTTTCTCGCTCTTTGGTTCGGGTAACTTGGCGTCAGGAAGCGGCTCCTCCTCCTACTGCTCCTACTCCAGCAAGACCTATCTACTATCGTTCTCTCAACAACAAATTTGCCAAGGTTCTGAGCTTGCGGACACAACGCCCTATACCCAGGCTCTGGCTGACAGGCCTGTTGCCTCTCTAGATTCACCGAAGCCTAACATGAACAATCCGATTTTGGTGACTGACACCGCATGCTCTGCCAGTCCTGAATCGAGTACTGAAGCGTTGACGAGGACCTTGCGCTGAAGGCAATGAACTCAGCCTAGGCAGACCGTGGTGGAAACGCAGGATCGGCTCAGCTTTACTAGATCTTCCTGGCTGTGGCATTGGCCTTCGCCTGATGTGGCGGCTTCTGCGTGCACGACTTTCAGCTCGAAACGACGTGCAGGGGGGGCCAAAGTCACGGAAACCTACTCGTGGCAGCTTGCTACGAGGGCAGGCAAAAGAGAAGCCATGATAAGTCTGTTAAGCTCCGGAGCAGAGGCAGCAGAGGCACTGCAAACTTCTTTTCGCTCTCCAAAATGCGAATCGCAGTCGTCGCCGAGGCTTGGCCTACGACGTGCTGAAGTGTTTGACACGTTGGCGTGTTTCGTGGTGTTCGAGCGCGCCTCTTGCTGCGCCCGTATTCGCAGGGCTTTGCAGCTCGCTGCTGGCCATGCAACTGAGACCAGGATCAAGCTGCAGCAAAATCAGCCGTGGGGCTGTTCACCCCGTCAGGAAAAAAGTTACTGCCAAAGGGGCCTGTCTGCACAAATTAGTGGCCCTTCCAGCCTCTCGCAAAAGTTGCACACCCCACTCAGAACAGGACACTCATGGAAGTTCTGCGAGGACTCTTGGCAGTCTAGCAATCTTCTTTTCGCAGGTGTTTAGGCCGCGAACAGCATGGACAGTCCTAGCACAGCGGCAGAGGCGGTGCCAGCAATTGCCGAGCTGGGCGGCTCCTCGCCATCGTCACCATCGTCACCATCGTCGCCGTCGTCTCCATCGTCACCGGTCATGTTGTCTGCCGTCGACGTCGTCGTCGTGGTCGTCGTTGTCGTGGTCGTGGTCGTCGGTGCAGCGACGCGAACCGTCGACTTGCCGGTGACCTCCACGGTGCCCGTGAAGCCAGTGCTGGCGACAGCAGTGCTGATGGCTTCCGTCGTTTTCGCCAAAGACACTGTCTCAATTGCCACTTGCTTTTCGATGGCTGCTTCGATGCTGGGCATTGTCACAGTGAAAATGGCCGTCAGAGTGACCTGAAGCTTCCTTGCATGGGAACTGAGGCGCCTGTTCGTCTCGAACTCCAGCGTGACATCCTCTTCATCCACTTCCATCACCTCTGCAAACCCTGCAATCATGGCATTGGTCACGGTGGCGTTCTCGGTGATCGTGGCCGGATCTTCCACTGTCATTTCCATAGAGACTTCAATGCTGCTGTAGACAGCTCCCGCCACCGTTGTTGAGGTGACAACACCCGTCTTCGGGTCCTGAATGCAAACGCCCGACTCGAACATTGGCTTCCACATGCACGTAGTGTCACCAGCACAGCCTGCCTCGTCCTCCACATAGGAAACTGCGCACTTGGAGATGTTGCCGAGGGTCTCCAGATACTCCTTCGGGCCGTAGAGGGTTGTGCTGCAGTCGCGGGAATCGACTGGAGCCGGGTTCCACAGGCTGGTCCATGCTCGCCAGCCGTAGCGTGTCTTGTCCTTCGGAGTGAACTCGTTGGTGATGTTGTACTCTGGGTCGCTGATCTTCCAGGCGATGTAGTCGTCCCCGGTAGGGCCAAAGGCCAGGCTGCAATCGCTCCACGATTGAGATGCTGTTGCGAGATCCCAAGCCGTACAGAACTTCTTGGCATCCTCGGTCTTGTACAGCACCTCGTACTTGTCGTGGTGGTAGTTCAGCGTGATGCTGAACAGCGTCTCTGCCTGCTCCATGGAAGCCTCGCAGTTGGGACGCTCACCGCAGTACTTGGAGTTCCTCAGGACGTAGGGCAGCACGGGCTTGTCGTCCGTCTCCATCAGAACGCTCACAGGTGCCTTGATGATGTGGTAGTTGTCCGTGAGGGCGAACCACTTCGTTTTCACAAGAGAGGCTGTCTCGCACAGGTGGTAGTACGCATCACTCTTGGCCGTCGTAGTCTCCATGCTAATGTTGCCGTTCGGGCCCTCGATCGTCTCCATCATCTCTGGCTGCGGGTAGTAGGTCAGGGCCAGGATCTTCTTGAAGGGGTGGTGCGTGGGCACGGTCGACTTCAAGTGCCCCTGGTAGTCGAACATTGCCACTCCCAGGGTCACTTCGTCATCCTCAACAGTCTCGAAGAGGTTCTTGCTGGAACCGTGGCGGATGTAGGTTGGGAATTCGAAGCTGGTGTTCAGGAGGGTGTTGGCGTAGTTGCCCACCAGCATGGAATCCCAATTGTAGGTCATCATGTCGCCACCTGCGGCTGTCCATGCAGCTGCAAACTGGCTGCTGTTTCCAGACATGGCATCCATTGTGATCATGGCAAACGCCACATCGAAGGCCATCTCTTCCATCATGCTGCCACCGCCCATGCTGTGGAACGCGTCGTACACAGCCTTGGTCCAGGGGTGCTTCAGATTGTACATGGCGTTGCCGTTGATGTGCTCCACCAAGTAGGTCGGCATCATCGACTTGAACAAGTCCCACTTGTCGCCCAGGTACTGGCTCCCGCGGACGGCCATGTTGCCGCCCGGCATCTCGAGAGCCTCCGTCTCGAACTGGTCGAGCCAGCCGCTCTTGATGGGAACCGCGTCCATCTCCATGAGGAAGAAGGTGTCGTACATGTCCATGAACTCACCCTCAAGCATGGCCGTCATGATCTTCGAGAAGACTGCGTTGGGACCAGAGACCCAGTGCTTGTTGGTGGTGTAGCCGCGGTTGTCGTACACGTCTTGCTCCGGGTTCAGCATGGCCGACATGTTCTTGACGCCGGAGAAGCAAGTCGTCCAGGCTACCTTCTGGTCGAAGGCATTCCCGTAGAAATCCACAGCTGCCTTGGCCATGGAGTCGGCCGCCAGATCCTTGCTGAAGACCAGGATGAGATCGATCATGCTCATGTTGGACTTGCTGGCGCATGGCATTGAGGACTCCCACATAGCAGCACTGTCCATGAGCAGCTGCACCTCCTCCTCCGTCGAGAACACACGGACCACTGCGAGGTTGGAGGCTCCTTTTCAGACACATGGGCACTCTCTGCACAAAGAATGAACATAGCAAGGATGGGCAAGGTTTGTGGGTAAGTTAGAAGGGTTTGGGTGCGGGCTTCGAGGTTCAAAGTTAGGCAGAAACTCCATCGACCGTTCGACCATATGACGTTTCTGACTTCAGATGTGCCTCTGTAGCTTTGCAAATGTTGCAAACGTAGATGCTGGAGGCAGCATTTCAACAGAGAACGGGTGTACGGCGGCGAGCTAGGACCGGATAATGCCCGATAAAAGCGATGGTACAGCGTAGAACAAGGAGAGAGAAGCGGACCAACACAAAACAGAGACCCCGTCCTGAAGCCCTCAGCTGGACGAATCCCAGGGCAGCGAGCAACAAGGCTGGCAGCTTCATGGCAGGTTGCAAATCACGCAACGCTGTTTCAGGCCGTTGGTGGCAGTGGTGGGGAAGTTTGCCCCGGCGCTTGAGAAGGATGGGCTTGGCGGCTTGAGGTCATTTGCCCTACAATGCTGGGAGAAGCGTCGGAAACAATACCCAGGCCATCGGAAGGGTCAGCATCTGGCAGCCATCATGCGGGGCCTTCTTTGAGCAGTCCGGAAGCAGTCCGGAATCTGAGGGCGTGGCGGCAAGCAGTGCATCTCCAAGTATACCAGCAAGTTCCGCCAAGAATCCTGGCATTATCTGGTGCACGCAACAGTCAGGTGCAGATCCGACGAAGCTGCTCCCTTCTCAGCGCCAGCTCTTCAGCTGCACAAGTCTCCAAACTTCAAGAGCCAGGTGCGCCCGTTCGCAGGAGTCTTTGGGGTGCACGCACGTGCGTGAGCACAGAGCTTGCCGCGTGACGCCTTCCACTTGCCACCTTCTACCTAATCTGACATAGGCCTGGCGCGCGCTAACCGCCCCGCAGCCACTCCCACTTCTTTAGAGATTAGGGTTTCGGAGCAACCTCAGTGCCCGGCAGTCCTGAATCGAGCCCGAAACGTGGACGAGGACCTTGCGCTGAAGGATGCTGACGGCATTGAACTCAGCCTAAGGACCCCGGGGTGGAAACGCAGGGTCGACTCAGCTTTACTAGATGTTCCTGGCTGCGGCATTGGCCTTCCGATGGCCTGATGTGGCGGCTTCTGCGTGCATGACTTTCAGCTCGAGGGGGGGCCAAAGTCACGGAAACCTACTTGTGGCAGCCTGCTACGACGGCGGGCAACAGATATGTCGTGATAAAGTCCATTAAGTTCCGGATCACATGCACTGGAAACTTCTTTTCGCTCTCCAAAATCACTTGCGGAATCGCAGTCGTCGCCGAGGCTTGGCCTACGACGCGCTGACGTGGTTGACACGTTGGCGTGTTTCGTGGTGTTCGGGCGCGCCTCTTGCTGCGCCCGTATTCGCAGGGCTTTGCAGCTCGCTGCCGGCCATGCAACTAAGACTAAGACCAGGATCAAGCTGCGGCAAAATCAGCCGTGGGGGTGTTCACCCCCTCAGAAAAAGTGACTGCCAAAGGGGGCTGTCTGCACAAATCAATGGCCCTTCCAGCCTCTCGCAAAAGTTGCACACCCCACTCAGAACAGGACACTCATGGAAGTTCTGCATGGACTCTTGGCAGATGCCTTAGGCCGCGAACAGCATGGCCAGTCCTAGCACAGCGGCAGAGGCGGTGCCAGCGATTGCCGAGCTGGGCGGCTCCTCGCCATCGTCACCATCGTCACCATCGTCGCCGTCGTCTCCATCGTCACCGGTCATGTTGTCTGCCGTCGACGTCGTCGTCGTGGTCGTCGTTGTCGTGGTCGTGGTCGTCGGTGCAGCGACGCGAACCGTCGACTTGCCGGTGACCTCCACGGTGCCTGTGAAGCCAGTGCTGGCGACAGCAGTGCTGATGGCTTCGGTCGTTTTCGCCAAAGACACTGTCTCAATTGCCACTTGCTTTTCGATGGCTGCTTCGATGCTGGGCATTGTCACAGTGAAAATGGCCGTCAGAGTGACCTGAAGCTTCCTTGCATGGGAACTGAGGCGCCTGTTCGTCTCGAACTCCAGCGTGACATCCTCTTCATCCACTTCCATCACCTCTGCAAACCCTGCAATCATGGCATTGGTCACGGTGGCGTTCTCGGTGATCGTGGCCGGATCTTCCACTGTCATTTCCATAGAGACTTCAATGCTGCTGTAGACAGCTCCCGCCACCGTTGTTGAGGTGACAACACCCGCCTTCGGGTCCTGAATGCAAACGCCCGACTCGAACATGGGCTTCCACATGCACGTAGTGTCACCAGCACAGCCTGCCTCGTCCTCCACATAGGAAACTGCGCACTTGGAGATGTTGCCGAGGGTCTCCAGATACTCCTTCGGGCCGTAGAGGGTTGTGCTGCAGTCGCGGGAATCGACTGGAGCCGGGTTCCACAGGCTGGTCCATGCTCGCCAGCCGTAGCGTGTCTTGTCCTTCGGAGTGAACTCGTTGGTGATGTTGTACTCTGGGTCGCTGATCTTCCAGGCGATGTAGTCGTCCCCGGTAGGGCCAAAGGCCAGGCTGCAATCGCTCCACGATTGAGATGCTGTTGCGAGATCCCAAGCCGTACAGAACTTCTTGGCATCCTCGGTCTTGTACAGCACCTCGTACTTGTCGTGGTGGTAGTTCAGCGTGATGCTGAACAGCGTCTCTGCCTGCTCCATGGAAGCCTCGCAGTTGGGACGCTCACCGCAGTACTTGGAGTTCCTCAGGACGTAGGGCAGCACGGGCTTGTCGTCCGTCTCCATCAGAACGCTCACAGGTGCCTTGATGATGTGGTAGTTGTCCGTGAGGGCGAACCACTTCGTTTTCACAAGAGAGGCTGTCTCGCACAGGTGGTAGTACGCATCACTCTTGGCCGTCGTAGTCTCCATGCTAATGTTGCCGTTCGGGCCCTCGATCGTCTCCATCATCTCTGGCTGCGGGTAGTAGGTCAGGGCCAGGATCTTCTTGAAGGGGTGGTGCGTGGGCACGGTCGACTTCAAGTGCCCCTGGTAGTCGAACATTGCCACTCCCAGGGTCACTTCGTCATCCTCAACAGTCTCGAAGAGGTTCTTGCTGGAACCGTGGCGGATGTAAGTTGGGAATTCGAAGCTGGTGTTCAGGAGGGTGTTGGCGTAGTTGCCCACCAGCATGGAATCCCAATTGTAGGTCATCATGTCGCCACCTGCGGCTGTCCATGCAGCTGCAAACTGGCTGCTGTTTCCAGACATGGCATCCATTGTGATCATGGCAAACGCCACATCGAAGGCCATCTCTTCCATCATGCTGCCACCGCCCATGCTGTGGAACGCGTCGTACACAGCCTTGGTCCAGGGGTGCTTCAGATTGTACATGGCGTTGCCGTTGATGTGCTCCACCAAGTAGGTCGGCATCATCGACTTGAACAAGTCCCACTTGTCGCCCAGGTACTGGCTCCCGCGGACGGCCATGTTGCCGCCCGGCATCTCAAGAGCCTCCGTCTCGAACTGGTCGAGCCAGCCGCTCTTGATGGGAACCGCGTCCATCTCCATGAGGAAGAAGGTGTCGTACATGTCCATGAACTCACCCTCAAGCATGGCCGTCATGATCTTCGAGAAGACTGCGTTGGGACCAGAGACCCAGTGCTTGTTCGTGGTGTAGCCGCGGTTGTCGTACACATCTTGCTCCGGGTTCAGCATGGCCGACATGTTCTTGACGCCGGAGAAGCAAGTCGTCCAGGCTACCTTCTGGTCGAAGGCATTCCCGTAGAAATCCACAGCTGCCTTGGCCATGGAGTCGGCCGCCAGATCCTTGCTGAAGACCAGGATGAGATCGATCATGCTCATGTTGGACTTGCTGGCGCATGGCATTGAGGACTCCCACATAGCAGCACTGTCCATGAGCAGCTGCACCTCCTCCTCCGTCGAGAACACACGGACCACTGCGAGGTTGGAGGCTCCTTTTCAGACACATGGGAACTCTCTGCACAAAGAATGAACATAGCAAGGATGGGCAAAGTTTGTGGGTAAGTTAGAAGGGTTTGGGTGCGGGCTTCGAGGTTCAAAGTTAGGCAGAAACTCCATCGACCGTTCGACCATATGACGTTTCTGACTTCAGATGTGCCTCTGTAGCTTTGCAAATGTTGCAAACGTAGATGCTGGAGGCAGCATTTCAACAGAGAACGGGTGTACGGCGGCGAGCTAGGACCGGATAATGCCCGATAAAAGCGATGGTACAGCGTAGAACAAGGAGAGAGAAGCGGACCAACACAAAACAGAGACCCCGTCCTGAAGCCCTCAGCTGGACGAATCCCAGGGCAGCGAGCAACAAGGCTGGCAGCTTCATGGCAGGTTGCAAATCACGCAACGCTGTTTCAGGCCTTTGGTGGCAGTGGTGGGGAAGTTTGCCCCGGCGCTTGAGAAGGATGGGCTTGGCGGCTTGAGGTCATTTGCCCTACAATGCTGGGAGAAGCGTCGGAAACAATACCCAGGCCATCGGAATGTGCAGAATGTCAGTGGCGGGGGTGTGCAGGGTCAGCATCTGGCAGCCATCATGCGGGGCCTTCTTTGAGCAGTCCGGAAGCAGTCCGGAATCTGAGGGCGTGGCGGCAAGCAGTGCATCTCCAAGTATACCAGCAAGTTCCGCCAAGAATCCTGGCATTATCTGGTGCACGCAACAGTCAGGTGCAGATCCGACGAAGCTGCTCCCTTCTCAGCGCCAGCTCTTCAGCTGCACAAGTCTCCAAACTTCAGGAGCCAGGTGCGCCCGTTCGCAGGAGTCTTTGGGGTGCACGCACGTGCGTGAGCACAGAGCTTGCCGCGTGACGCCTTCCACTTGCCACCTTCTACCTAATCTGACATAGGCCTGGCGCGCGCTAACCGCCCCGCAGCCACTCCCACTTCTTTAGAGATTAGGGTTTCGGAGCAACCTCAGTGCCCGGCAGTCCTGAATCGAGCCCGAAACGTGGACGAGGACCTTGCGCTGAAGGATGCTGACGGCATTGAACTCAGCCTAAGGACCCCGGGGTGGAAACGCAGGGTCGACTCAGCTTTACTAGATGTTCCTGGCTGCGGCATTGGCCTTCCGATGGCCTGATGTGGCGGCTTCTGCGTGCATGACTTTCAGCTCGAGGGGGGGCCAAAGTCACGGAAACCTACTTGTGGCAGCCTGCTACGACGGCGGGCAACAGATATGTCGTGATAAAGTCCATTAAGTTCCGGATCACATGCACTGGAAACTTCTTTTCGCTCTCCAAAATCACTTGCGGAATCGCAGTCGTCGCCGAGGCTTGGCCTACGACGCGCTGACGTGGTTGACACGTTGGCGTGTTTCGTGGTGTTCGGGCGCGCCTCTTGCTGCGCCCGTATTCGCAGGGCTTTGCAGCTCGCTGCCGGCCATGCAACTAAGACTAAGACCAGGATCAAGCTGCGGCAAAATCAGCCGTGGGGGTGTTCACCCCCTCAGAAAAAGTGACTGCCAAAGGGGGCTGTCTGCACAAATCAATGGCCCTTCCAGCCTCTCGCAAAAGTTGCACACCCCACTCAGAACAGGACACTCATGGAAGTTCTGCATGGACTCTTGGCAGATGCCTTAGGCCGCGAACAGCATGGCCAGTCCTAGCACAGCGGCAGAGGCGGTGCCAGCGATTGCCGAGCTGGGCGGCTCCTCGCCATCGTCACCATCGTCACCATCGTCGCCGTCGTCTCCATCGTCACCGGTCATGTTGTCTGCCGTCGACGTCGTCGTCGTGGTCGTCGTTGTCGTGGTCGTGGTCGTCGGTGCAGCGACGCGAACCGTCGACTTGCCGGTGACCTCCACGGTGCCCGTGAAGCCAGTGCTGGCGACAGCAGTGCTGATGGCTTCGGTCGTTTTCGCCAAAGACACTGTCTCAATTGCCACTTGCTTTTCGATGGCTGCTTCGATGCTGGGCATTGTCACAGTGAAAATGGCCGTCAGAGTGACCTGAAGCTTCCTTGCATGGGAACTGAGGCGCCGGTTCGTCTCGAACTCCAGCGTGACATCCTCTTCATCCACTTCCATCACCTCTGCAAACCCTGCAATCATGGCATTGGTCACGGTGGCGTTCTCGGTGATCGTGGCCGGATCTTCCACTGTCATTTCCATAGAGACTTCAATGCTGCTGTAGACAGCTCCCGCCACCGTTGTTGAGGTGACAACACCCGCCTTCGGGTCCTGAATGCAAACGCCCGACTCGAACATTGGCTTCCACATGCACGTAGTGTCACCAGCACAGCCTGCCTCGTCCTCCACATAGGAAACTGCGCACTTGGAGATGTTGCCGAGGGTCTCCAGATACTCCTTCGGGCCGTAGAGGGTTGTGCTGCAGTCGCGGGAATCGACCGGAGCCGGGTTCCACAGGCTGGTCCATGCTCGCCAGCCGTAGCGTGTCTTGTCCTTCGGAGTGAACTCGTTGGTGATGTTGTACTCTGGGTCGCTGATCTTCCAGGCGATGTAGTCGTCCCCGGTAGGGCCAAAGGCCAGGCTGCAATCGCTCCACGATTGAGATGCTGTTGCGAGATCCCAAGCCGTACAGAACTTCTTGGCATCCTCGGTCTTGTACAGCACCTCGTACTTGTCGTGGTGGTAGTTCAGCGTGATGCTGAACAGCGTCTCTGCCTGCTCCATGGAAGCCTCGCAGTTGGGACGCTCGCCGCAGTACTTGGAGTTCCTCAGGACGTAGGGCAGCACGGGCTTGTCGTCCGTCTCCATCAGAACGCTCACAGGTGCCTTGATGATGTGGTAGTTGTCCGTGAGGGCGAACCACTTCGTTTTCACAAGAGAGGCTGTCTCGCACAGGTGGTAGTACGCATCACTCTTGGCCGTCGTAGTCTCCATGCTAATGTTGCCGTTCGGGCCCTCGATCGTCTCCATCATCTCTGGCTGCGGGTAGTAGGTCAGGGCCAGGATCTTCTTGAAGGGGTGGTGCGTGGGCACGGTCGACTTCAAGTGCCCCTGGTAGTCGAACATTGCCACTCCCAGGGTCACTTCGTCATCCTCAACAGTCTCGAAGAGGTTCTTGCTGGAACCGTGGCGGATGTAGGTTGGGAATTCGAAGCTGGTGTTCAGGAGGGTGTTGGCGTAGTTGCCCACCAGCATGGAATCCCAATTGTAGGTCATCATGTCGCCACCTGCGGCTGTCCACGCAGCTGCAAACTGGCTGCTGTTTCCAGACATGGCATCCATTGTGATCATGGCAAACGCCACATCGAAGGCCATCTCTTCCATCATGCTGCCACCGCCCATGCTGTGGAACGCGTCGTACACAGCCTTGGTCCAGGGGTGCTTCAGATTGTACATGGCGTTGCCGTTGATGTGCTCCACCAAGTAGGTCGGCATCATCGACTTGAACAAGTCCCACTTGTCGCCCAGGTACTGGCTCCCGCGGACGGCCATGTTGCCGCCCGGCATCTCGAGAGCCTCCGTCTCGAACTGGTCGAGCCAGCCGCTCTTGATGGGAACCGCGTCCATCTCCATGAGGAAGAAGGTGTCGTACATGTCCATGAACTCACCCTCAAGCATGGCCGTCATGATCTTCGAGAAGACTGCGTTGGGACCAGAGACCCAGTGCTTGTTCGTGGTGTAGCCGCGGTTGTCGTACACGTCTTGCTCCGGGTTCAGCATGGCCGACATGTTCTTGACGCCGGAGAAGCAAGTCGTCCAGGCTACCTTCTGGTCGAAGGCATTCCCGTAGAAATCCACAGCTGCCTTGGCCATGGAGTCGGCCGCCAGATCCTTGCTAAAGACCAGGATGAGATCGATCATGCTCATGTTGGACTTGCTGGCGCATGGCATTGAGGACTCCCACATAGCAGCACTGTCCATGAGCAGCTGCACCTCCTCCTCCGTCGAGAACACACGGACCACTGCGAGGTTGGAGGCTCCTTTTCAGACACATGAGCAAGAATGAACATAACAAGGATGGGCAAAGTTTTTGGGTAAGTTAGGAGGTTTGAGTAAGGGCTTCGAGGTTCAAAGTTAGGTTCAAAGTTAGGTTCATGCGGGGTGGATGTTGGCTTCAGTGGGCATTATTGACATCGGCGGAAACTCCATCGACCATAGCGACCGTTCGACCATACGACGATTCTGACTTCACTTCAGATGTGCCTCTGTAGCTTTGCAAATGTTGCAAACGTAGATGCTGGAGGCAGCATTT